ATGCAGAGAAGTGACTCTCCACACAAAGAAGAGTTGGAAAACTCAAGTGCCAGGAATCCCTGAGGCCCAGGAGCTATAGTTACGCCAGTTCTGGATGATTGAAAATTTGCCTGCAGACAGAATTTTCAAAAATGGGATAGATTTTCAAATACTGAAGGGAGGCTGATAGTTGGAATGAGTGAATCATCAACCCAGTTTACCTATTTTGTAGTCTGATTTTAGCAATTAGGTTTCTTCAAAGCTAACTGCACCTCTATTCTTTACGGTGCTAGAGAACTCTCTGAGGGCTTCTCTGAACTATAGCTACTGGCTTTCTGATTCTGAAAGACAAACACGGGGCACCTGTTATCCAAACCATGCCAAATGACCAAAAGGAGAGTTCTCAGACCCAGCATTTGCTGCTGGCTGGGCCTCAGACACCCTGGTTGGTTTGTGAGCCCAGGCTCAGACATCTCCCTCCACAATGAATGGCTGGGAGGCACAGGGTAACAGGGTCCCTGTTGCCCAAACACATTTTCTTCTTGATCATTGAAGACCAACTGTTTCCGGTTCCAGAGGCAAAGGGAGACTAGGATGCAGCCATTCAGTAATGGGGAACTCTACCAACCTGTACTCTGCCAAGGGCAAGCCTGCCCAAGCATTCCCGGAAGAAATGAGAGTTGCTGAGCGGGCACTTCACACTGGTCCTCTCTGGCATTGTTTTCTGTGATAAGGGGATCCCCCTTGGGACAGAAGCATGGCAACAAGAGGATAGAACAACCTTTCATGGCAGAGCTCAGGTTCAGGTTCTGAATCGAAGTTTGCTTCCTGGCACTATACTGGGGCCATAGCTAGGCCTTCCACTGCAGTTTTATCTTTAGACAAAAGTCAAGGTAGATACCAGCCCAGCCAAGGGAGCTCCACTGTCAAGGGATAAAGTGTATCTCACCAGCCGGGAAGGGTAGTTGGAAGCCTGATGGGGAGAAGGGGAGGGAGAAGCAGAGGGATGGGCAGGGCCTGGAGTCTGGGCACCGGCAGGTTTGGGCCACAGGAGCAGACCCATGATGGCACTGGCAGGACTGGTACGAGGCCCAGCCTGAAGATCTTGAATATCAGGGTAAAGAAGGCAGACCTAGTCCCAGGCCCAGCACAGAGCCTGAGTCTGCAAGCCAACAATGCAGACAGACAGAATGACTTCAGAAAAACCAAACAAGCATGTACGGTGTGGCGCAGACGGACTGTGAGCACCATCTGCAGTCCCACAAATAAACAACTGAGAACCTAGGTAGGCCGGTGGGTGTAGGAAAGGGAAGAAGGGTATGGATTTTGAAGTATTGAGGGGTATTGGCCAGCTCTGGGTACCTGACTGGGGTTGGGGCACTTTGGGGGAAGCCATGGAATTCAGGACAAGAGTGAGTCAAAGATGACTCTGGGCTTCTCTGCAGGACCACCAAGACCTTGTCACCTAGATGATGTTTTCCTTACACGAGCTCTTTCACAACACACCTTGAAATGTGGTGTCAGTAGTTGTCCACTCCCATTACCTACATGCAGCAACTTCGGCTGCCTTGCCTGGGTGTGACCCACTCCCCCATATGTCTTCAGAGACCTTGTAGAGCAGGAAGACGCTGTTTCTCACAGGTGGTTAAAGAAAAGTAACAATAGTGCTGGGAAGGACTATGGAAAATGTGTTTGTCCAGCACAGGACTTCTGTGGCCAGACTTCCAGGATGTGATTCCACATGAACCATGAGCATGGGCATTCTCAGTTACTGTGAATACTCAGACCATCTGCACATTATCCAGGAACCTCATGTCCTGTAACTTATCTGAGTCATTTCCATGAGCCAAGACAGATGGGGAACCACACATCAAGGCTTGCTACTAGTGGTTAGCAACTCTGGTTTAAAAACACAAACTGGATAGGGGAAGATCATGGTGAAAAAGAGATCTGGTGATTGTCTTTCAATAATCTACACTTTACACAAAATCACATGACCCCTAATAACCAAGAAAGGGATAATAAGCATGTGGAATGCAGCTGTGGGCCAAGAATGTAACCAAGAATTCTCGTAGTTCATGAAGTTGTCCTGTCTGGTCCTAAGGTGTAGCTGGCTGGTGTATGTGGAGAGCGGGGCTGTAGAAGCATAGGAGTGTCACTCCCAAAGTCAGCCCTAGCCTGCCTCCCTGGATCGTAGAGTCCACCTCAACTCTCAAATCAGAGGCTACTTCCTCAGGAAAGATTGTTCTGCAATGCCCTGTTAAGTTACATTTTCCCAGAGTCCCTTTTACTTCCCACACAAAGCATCATTTTCTCTTAGGGCTTATTATTATGTGTTTAGTGCTGTGGTCATTTGATTCACACCTTGCTTTGCCACCAGACTGGAAATTCTGTGGAGTCAGGGATGGCTTCTGGTTTTTCTCTCCCTGGGGCCTGGCTGATCATAGGTGCTCAAAACATGTGAGTCAAAATACTAAGACATGATGAGTAAAAGAAGAGCCAGTAGGTCCCAGAATGTGTTGAATGGCAAACCACCTCAGCAAAGGAATTCTACGATCGCATTTTTAAAATGAACCCCCAAAGAGTCAATATTAAGTGTCCAAAGGGCAGCTGACTTCCTTGTTAGAGATAATTATATGCCTAAATTATGGAATAATTAATAATGACTAATAATAAGATTTATTTATTTAATAATAAATACTATTATAATAACTAATAACAGTATTATTCCCTAGTAACTAATTATGGAATAGACATAGTAAAGAATAACAATGTCTAAAGGGAAGGACAAAGAGAGAAAAAAAGCATAAGGTAACCATATCATTTACTTGGAGCATGTTAACTTAAATAAATTAAACAATTTAAGCTCTGCAAAAAAAATACAGAGACAGAAAGATGATACACATGCACACAGATAATACCGAGTTAAATAGTACAGCCCCTTTGCCAGTGTTTTTCTTAAGGGCACATGACTCAGGAGAGGTAAGGGAGCCCTTGTCTTCAGGGGGTTGGGGCAGGTCCCACACCTCTTTCCGGATTGATGCTTTCATAGAATGTAGCCCAGAAATACAAGTTTCCTACTTTATTTGTTCAACTGACTGAAATTTTTAAAAAATTTTCCTAGAGCTGCAGGTCTAACTGGCTACTATAGACTTAATAGGCAGTACTGGGTCCAACATGGTCCTTAGCCTCAGTAATTTTCAAAGGCAATTTTGACTATACACAATTTTCCCCTTTTGCCTTGACTTTAAAATCTAATCTCTGTGTAAGATTCCACTCCACTGCACTTCCTGAGTTTAAGATGGTGATTATGGACTAGCCAATGTTCAGGCTGATACAGGTGGAGCCTTGGGTTAAGGAAGGGTTGGGTTCATCCCTTCTACCAGGGTGAAATAAACCTCTAGGGGTAAGACAGAGTCCCAGAACCGGATGTGAGTCAGGAGCCTGACAGCCTTCTCATCTGGTCTGCAGGAGACCTGAAGAGCCCTCATCTGCCACTTGTGGGTGGATGTCATACAGGTTTGCTTCAAACTGAGTAACTTACTGAGAACTGAGACTATGTTCACTTACTTAACTATTATCACTGAGAATCAAGACCATCTGTAACAACAGAGCCATTGCTTCCAGGATATTCTTGCCCAGGAAGCTAAGTAAACCAATAAGTAAGTTCTGTGTTTGCTGCAGGAAATCCCCACAGAACAATCTGTCTTATGCTCACCTGGGAAAACAGCTTGCTTATCAAACAACCCTTTACTCACCAAGACTTCCTTTAAGACCTTCATCTTGCTGTAACCGCCAATCCTGAACTGTTAGGTCACAAACTTTCCTGAAACCCGTCAATTCTCTGCCTTGAAAAACACGGCTTGCCGGACATGGGCCTAGACTTCTAAACCCTGTAAATATACCTCTCAACCTCCCCTGGCTTATACACCAATAGGACTATGTCCTAGTGATGTTCTCCCTTCCTGCAGTTTGATTAACTCAGCTTTGCTTTATCAACAGGCTCTTGATGGCTGTTTTTTTGAAGTCCATAAATGACACAACAAATCAGAATTGGTCTCTTGGAAACTGGAAGCCTATAAATGGTTAATACATGCTGATAACCCATCAAGATGGGATAATTAGTAAACATTGTCAGTTTTCCTCTGTAAGAAAGAGGCCTCTATATTATTCCTCCTTTGAGAAAAGATCTGGTGTTTGAATACCTGTCTATGATTTCAAATGCACGTTTTACCTCCATTTTTCTACTCTCACAGATTTTGTGTTTTCCAAATTTTCTACAGTGGGTATGCATCATTTTGAGGGTAAGCAAAAGGATGCAAAGCAAAAGTCATAAGAAGGAAATTAATTTCTAAGCACAAATTAGAAATGACCACCAAGTCTTAATTTGAAATGCATACATATAGAGTATATAAAAAACCCATTTAGAATCTTATCAGATTAGCTAGCAAGGTAATATTATCCCACTAACATCAATATGCATTTAGAAAAGTTATACAGTTTTAATCATGCTGTCTTTTTTTTTCCTCTTGCCTGATCCTAAGAAGTTTCTGGGGTGTTCGGTAAATAGTACAACAAATGACCTTCAGTCAGTCTCGGGTGGGGCCCAGGAATCTTTTTTTCTTCTTCTTTTTTTTTTAAGTGAGAACTTAAGTCACACAATCAAGTAAAGTATAAAATATGTGGGCCTCCAGCATGGGATTCACCGGAATGCAAATTCTAGCTTACATCCAAAAATCATCCAGCTGAAATGGAACGACTGAGAGCTTGACAAATAAAGAGTGCCTCAATTGTCTTACCCTGGGTGGCATCTCTATGCCTGGGTCCTGAGTCTGTCTGGAAGCACTAGCTCACAAAAACCCCAGCCTACAGTGACCCCTGGTAACATTGGCAGCTGGGCTCAGGCAAGCTCTCTCAGCCAGAGGTGGCTCAGAGAGCAGGCTTCCCTCGGCATCTCGCCGTGCAGCCCGGCAAAGGGAGCAGACTGCCCATTAGCAATCGCCATCAGGCTTTCCTTTTACCTTAAAGAAACTTCCTTGTTTGTCCGCACCACGGGCGCCCATGGTCCACGCTGACATTCCCTCCAGCGAGGCCTACTGCACGCCTGGGACTCCTGAAGGTAGAGACATTTTTAATGGTTAGTCCAGCCTGTAGGAAATTCCTTTCTGAGCCACAGAACACTCACAACAACAGTCCTGCCAAGATCTTTTTCCGTCAACAACACAGTGCCATTTATTTCCCACCAAAGCGCTTCCATCTCTTTTCAGGCTGATTTCCTGCCTGAGACGCTCAGTTCCTAGGCTGTGCCCCACCTCATTGCCCCACCTCCTGCTCCCCCGGCTGACGCAGACAGTCCCTGGGACTACCGAAAGCATGATGATTGCTTTGTGTGTTTGCTTGACCTCACGCTCAAGGCTGAAAGGGACCAATATTATATGTCACCGCTGTCTGCTCTGAAGCTTAGGGACTTAATGTGGCTAATCACAGAGGGATGGCAGCAGAATGAGGCCCTGCATACATCAGGAAATCCTGCTGGATCGGGATGAGGTCATCGTTAGCTCTGCTAGCCCTCTCCCTGCTGGCAAGGTCAACACAAGGGTACTGGGAATAAATCGCTCTATTTTCTCCTTAGAAATCAAAGATGGAATTTCTGTGTCCATGTTTACAGAGATCAGTTTGGGTAAGAAACAGCACATGAACAGCTCCGTGAAAGCCCAGGAGGGTGGGGATGCCCTTTAGAATGCAGAGAAAAATTTAAAGCATGATATGATTCCAAATCATTACTGTGGCTGTTTGAACTTGGAATTTCCCTCACTCCAGCACCAAATCCCAATGATCTTCCTTCTTGGTTAGCTACAAATCCTTCAAGTAAAACTCACACGGCAAGGTCACTGGCCTCGCCCCAGCCAGCATGTACTAAGGAGGCCTGAGGGGGGCTACCCCCAAACTTTCCTTCCCCAGGGATGTCGGTCCAGGAGCAATCAGAAAACCGCTCTCCCACTCACAATCCCTTCTGTTCACCATAAGAGGCACAAGATGTAGCTGGTCCTAACTACAACTAACACAGTGGGAGGGCAATAAAGGAAATAGTAAGTGAAAACACGTTATATCACATTAAGGATTAATAAAAGCGGTTCAGCTGTGGGGCTGGGGGGGCACCGAAGCCCCAAGAGCTGCTAGTTTGTTGAGGCTGTTTCATTGCTGGCCGGGAGACACAGAGTCAGCAGCACCAAAGGGATATGTCAACAAGTGAAAGAGCATTACTTTGCAGAAAACTGCATACACATTAGTGAGCAATGCTCTTTGGAGTGAGGCTCATTCGGGCCCATCACTTGCCTCTCTGTTGACATTCATAATGGGCTGCGACGATCATGGAATCCCATCTAGGAAAATAGTAACGCAGCACACAACCACCCTGCTTTCAGAACCTTCACCTATTTTTCCATGGCTCATCACTTTAAAGGTTTGAAGGGGTCTTCCCTGAGTTACTTTCCTCTTGCAATCTTGCTGGGATGCAGGTCAGTGTTCCAAAAACCTCCCGAGAAGACTGGTGAGCTGGTGAGCTTTCCACTGCTGTTCTGCTGACTGCAGAGGTTCAGGTTCTCAGGCTCAGCAGCTGCATGGAGCCCCGCTCCAGAGCCTTTGAAGTTCATCATTTGTTAGCAAGTCCACAGATTGGAGAGACTCCAGAAAGAAAACAGTGCTGTGTTCAGAACTAAAAGGGGACTAGTAGCTACACTATAAGCTCAGGGAGAAAATAATTAACTGTTTCAACCCAGAAGCACACAAATAAGAAAACACGCTTCTTGAAACCAAGCCTAATGCCTGTAATTCTTTCCTTTCAGACGTTTTCTCGGTGAGGGACTTAACATCGCACAGCAGTTAAGGAACTGCTCAGTGAGAGCCAAGGCTTCATTCCTCGCCCAGACCTAAGTCTCTTTGTTCCGTTCAGAAGTTTTCCATATACAAACCCATTCTGATGAGCCACGACAGGCAGGGAATTTTGCCTATAGCAATGGAGCAGTTTGGACTCAAGAAGTTTACTAATTTCATTAGCTGCCTGAAAAATTCATATGCGCACATCAACCTCAAGTGGTCCTCAGTGAAACACCCAGCTTGGATTCCATGCAGGGCAGGCAGACCCATCACATTTCTTTGAGACGATGTAAGGTACATCTTTCCTTCTTCCAAAGGCTGCTCCAGGATGGAGAGGAGAGCAGCTCATAAGAACGGGCTGCCACGTGCTATAGCAGGGCCTTCCCACAGGATGAAATCCAAGTGGACAGTCTATCACAGATGATTCTGATTTTAAAAAATAAAGTTCTGAGGAGCCCCAAAGAAGTTTTGATTTAAGGTCCTTCCTATTGCAGCAATAATTTCCTTCCCAAACCTATAACCTCTAACACCTTAACTCAATATGGACAAAAACATAATACAATTTAAAAGGAAAACTTTTCATTCGTGGTTCCTTCAATCTCCCCACGAGGAGGTACACCAGCAGTTTCATCCTCAGACCATCCCAGTACTGCTGGACTAAGAAACCAAAAGAGTACAATAGTAGGAGAGGCTGTAAAATCCCTGCAACCGACTCACGCTGTGGAAGCTTGCTGGTTTCCTTGAGGGGGAAAGTGGATTCTTGAGAAGTGAGTGCAGGGTATCCAGTGTATCTTTCCAGGTGCTAGCTAAAAGCTAGAAAAAAGAAAGAAAGAAAGGAAAAATAATCCCTAACAGGACACTGTAAACATTTTGGAGCTGCCAAGCCTTTTCAGTAACACCACTGAAAGGAATGTAAACAATGCTGGTCACTCTAGCCAGGCAAAAGGACAGAGACAGGGAGCAAACAGTCCTCTCTCTCCTGGAAACAGCAGGCGCTGCTACCTTACAGGAGGTCTAGCGGTGGCTCTCCATGCGGTCCCAAGAACGACTACCCAGGTGAAAGTCTGTCCTGAAATTCCAGCGCAAAGTACTCCCCAAGTCATCCTGTGGGCTACAGCTGTGCTGACTGCTGAGCAGATGGCTCCAGGCTGGCTGTCCAGCCCATGCCACTGAGAACGAGTGAGGGCAGGCTGGGGCACCACCTCCTGGACTTGGCTGCAGGCTGGCTGCCAGGGGCAGGAACACCAAGCGCCCAGTTCCCAGCTCCCTGATCAGTGGGGCTGGGTTGAGTCACCGGCATGTGCCCGGCTTTTGCTGTACCTGGCCACATCTTGGCAAGATAGAGGGTCTGGGATATATCCTTCTCCTTCCCCTCTCCTGGACCCTCAATTTATTTAGTCAAACTACACCCTTCCTATTTTATTTCTCTCAGATCACAAGTGCAAACCCACGGAGAAGCAACAGTAACATATTACCACCTGCTCCTCACAAGTCCAATTTAAAAGAAACTTTGCTTATTCAGGTTATGAGTTCTCATTACCAAACTGTCACGGTCGGCCAGAAAACCTTCTAATAATCACTACTTTTTTACTTTTACTTTCTAGCCATCAAATTAGGAGAGGCAAAGTGAACTGGAGCTCTTAGTAAACAAGATCTTGTTATTGTAATTCCTTTCCAGTCAAAGTGGCTGGAGTTGGAGAAGTTGACTCACCCCGGGGGTCTGTCCCATCAAGGCCAATCCTGAGAAATTCACATCACCTTTTCTCCTGGTTCTCTGAATGGATCTGATGACGACGAGGATAGGTCTCCACTCTTTTGAATGCTTTTCATCTTTTCTCAGAGGTAAAAGCCAGTAGGCGGCTCCGTGTCTGGATCCAGGGACGGTCTCAGAATATTTCTGTATTTATCTTTGTATTACCAAGGATTTTACAAGCTGGACAGAAAAACTCTGTTCCAGGCTCTGGCTTGACAATTTAAATTATGTGATTTTTAATTTTTTTGTTAAACATCTCGTATCACTGCCCAGAACTGATTTTCCCACAGTTGATATTTGTACTTATTTTAAAAAAAGTTTTAAGGTCATAAAAATTTTTCATTGAAAAGAGAAACTAATTTGTGGGAAGTAAGAAATCAGAAGGAAAGAACTAAATTCCCAGCTCACTTCTTGATAACTATGTTTTTAAATAGAAATAGGAACAATGCTCAATGCCTTGATTTCCCCAAGAGTAACCAAGGATAATAAAATACTTTTTTTCTTTGTTTTAACAAGGTGCTCAGGGGTTAACTTTAATTGGGGTTTTTTAACCTGGTAGCTCCTGGATTGAGTCTACACTGCAGACACATTTCTGCCACTCATAGGACTGGCCTGTACATGGGGCTATTCCCAATGCAGACCCATCTCTTCTGTCCTTCGAAAACTGGTGCTATCAGAGGCTCTTGCCTCACCCATCCTGCAGAAGCTCAGCCGTTACCCACATAGCTGAGTTGTGCACTCTCCCGGAAGGGTATGTGTGTCACCCTAGGTCACAGGCGGGCCGCTCTGCTGGTTAGAAAGTCCTCCTTTCCTGAGACGGGAAACTGGCTTTCTCACCTCCCACCCAGACCAACATTTCACCCCTCGTGTCACTCAAGCATTAGCTTCTTGCTTCTCCCTCTCCCACAGCCCCATTCCTCCTTGAGGTGACAGCTTCTCCTGAGCCTGGCTCAGACCTCAGGGCTGGTGCTCTGCACCCCCTGGAACTGGGCAGAGGAGGGAGGGGATCATTCACTGCTGGCACTTCAAAAGCATGTGCCTTTTCGATCTCCTCACTTGTGAGGCTCAATATGGTCAGTGGTCACACACTCTGCTCACATGTGCAGTGAGGTCATGCATGTGAGGAGGCCTCAAAATCCAGGGCTTTCAACCCAAAGGATGTCAAAGACAGGAAGCCACATACCCCAGGTCTTCCTTAGAGTGTATATGCCAGCCTGTAAGCACTTGAATTTAGAGCTTTCTTTTCCAAGGTTCTCTGGCCATGATGGTAAAAGGGTCTATGTAAATGGTTAATTTTAATTGGACGTTTATAACCTGACAGATCTGGGATTGACTCTACACAGCAGATACAATAGATTAAGTTATACACTCTAAAAATTTTTGAATTAACCGTCTCTAGAGACCTTGAGTTGAGCATTCATGTCCATGTAGTTTATGAGAGATACCTCCAGAAAACAGTGGCCAAGAAGAAGGGATGTAAGAAG